GCGGTGGGTCTCTCGGCGGGGCGACGACTGCCGAGAGCGGCGTTAGGGCTTGTGCCCGTGTTGTCCTCCGCTAAGGGTTAAGCATCCCTGTAACCGGCTGACTTGGTCCTGTCCCGTTTCTCAGGTGGCAGTCGATATGGAGTTTGCCAAAAACATGTATGAGTTGCACAAGAAGGTGTCTCCTAGTGAGATCATCTTGGGCTGGTAAGTTCTCCTTCTGCAAGAACATGCAAGCAGTTGTGGTGTTCCCTTAAACTACTTGAAATAACACATAAATCCTCCTTGTCACAGATTGAGAAGCAGAAGCATTAATGCTTGTGACAGTAAGATCTTGCAACTCTTGTTATAGAGTCAGTTGTAATGCTCCTGCAGTTCATAATAGGAAGAGATGGTATTGGAGACTTACAGGGTTTGGTTTTCTTTATATCTAGGAAAGGTATCACAGAGGAGCGATGAGTTAGAGAATGCATGCACGGCTTTGTTAGAAGAACTTAGCCACCTGTAATACAACCTGCACCACAGAAGATAACTGGTTAGAAAGAAGGGAGAACACAAAAGAGTAGCTTTAAGTACTGGGGGCCTCAGGAGGAATCGGTGGTACCAGCTTGAGCATGCAGAAGTTCTCTGCTGAGAAAAGGTGGAAGTACTTGTGTGGAGGATGCAAAGCAAGATCGGTAGGGTGTTATGGGAACAGGGTCTGTGTCTGAGTGTGTGGATAGCTTTATTAGTCTTCTCATGCTTCTCTCATCCTACAAAATAGCTTAGTTCTGCTCCTGTGGAGCAAACTTCATCAACAACCTTCTAATGGCACAGCAAAGTGCAGTTCTAATGACAGGAGTTTTCCTGTGTGTGTGAGGAGCTAATTGCAGAGCAGTTAAAGGAGCTAGATTAACAAGTTATACCTCCTGCAGAGAGACGTTTGATTTGTGGAAGATCTACTTGGTTGGTCCAAATTTGTTTGGCATGCTTTGACTTACATAGAAATAAAGAGTTGGTACAGAACATAGTGACAGATAACTGAATCTTGGGTGTCTGATGTCAACTGTACTTACTCTTTATGGCTGGTACTACAACACTGGCCCTGTACATGTTTTGGGCATGGGTGTGCTCAGCCTGTGACTCCTACAGTTCTAGGACAGCTGGCCATAAAACTACAAATTCCCTAGTTAAAACACTTCTATTTAGTATGCTTCTGCAGTTCAGTGTTTGGAAATCAGTGTGTTAGGATACAAACCTGTTAAATATCAACAATACCAAATATTGGGTACTTGAATGTTGGAAGAATGGCTCCTCAACCTGTGCTCTTTTGAAGGTATGCAACAGGTCACGACATCACGGAACATTCTGTGCTGATCCATGAGTATTACAGCCGGGAAGCGCACAATCCAATCCACCTCACTGTGGACACGAGTCTCCAGAATTCACGCATGAGCATTAAAGCCTACGTCAGGTACTCTGGGAGGCTGCATTTCTGGGAGGGGAGCTATCTGAATTACTGAGAGAGACCACATCAGGGTAACAAGAAACGTAGTGGGCTGCAGTGTCCCATTTTGGACAATACTACGCAGTAGCTAAAACACAGCAGTGAGCCAGGGATCATGGCTTACTTCTCATCGGAATGTCTCGACCGTTGTATGTAAGTTGAAAGACCTAACCTTTCTTAAGCTGGTACCTCGTTGGGGTGGGGAATTGTGACTTAATTAACAGTGTTCTGAACATCTTCGTGACATTTCACAGGGTTGACATAGCTAGCACTAATGTCACTAACTTCCATCACACTGTGTGAATGCTAGCCTGTAGTCACTGGGCTTTATTGCTCAGCAGTTTGTTTATACAAGTTGGAAGATTAGTGCAGTTAAAACATAATTGAAACAGCATCTTCTTGATCAGTCTTTCTTCCCCTTAACCCCTTCCATTTTTACCAACTAATAATGCAGATTAAATACTGAGAAAAGAAACTATTCCACCTCAATGTTCTTCCCAGTACTGGCTGAAGAGCTCTTCTCTTTAAGGAAAAAACCTAGCCTTTCTTTGTAGCAGAAGTCTACAGTTTCTTGACTGTGCATCTTCAAAAAGGAAGCTGTTCCATAACATCTTACTTAAAGCATAAATGGACTTCAAATACTTTGAACAGTAGGAATAATAAAGTGCTTTGTACTTGAATTTTTGTCATATTTATGTTTGTCCCTTAAGTGATTTCTCAAAGCATGGAGTATTTCAGGATAGAAGAATACCTGCTCTATAAGCAAGAAGGAACTGTGGCTAAGAAGATACTACTTAGCTTTTCATGCATTCATGCTGACAAATGCCAGACCAGCTAGGAATATTCTCGGATGAAAATGAGCAATTAATAGTATGCCAGGACTGATTTTCTGTCCTCAGTTATCCATGGTCTGATTTTGGTGAGAATGAGTAACCTACTCGTGTTCACACTTCAGTGCTAACAGAGATCATTGAGATGGAAATCTATTACTCCTCCCTTAAATACATCCATGCTGAAAACGTTTTGTTGTTGTTGTGTTTTTTTTTTTCCTAGTGCCCCAATGGGAGTCCCTGGTAAAACTATGGGCGTGATGTTCACACCTCTAACAGTGAAATATGTTTATTATGATACAGAGCGGATAGGAGGTGAATGTTTTCTTCCTATTTTGGTTATAACCATTGTTGTGACACTGTTCAAATGCTTTTTTTACCCTGGTAAAATTGCCATTCTGGGAATTAGACTGTCTTGCTGAAGCTATCCTAAAAATCTTCCAACAAGTTAAGGATTTAAACTGGTTTCTGTGGCAGTCAGTTTTTTTCACTGATCTTCCTTTTGCTTTCAGTGGATCTTATCATGAAGACTTGTTTTAGCCCTAATCGAGTGATTGGCTTGTCCAGTGACTTACAGCAGGTGGGGTCAGCGTCAGCCAGGATTCAGGATACCCTGACCATGGTGCTGCAGTATGCAGAGGATGTATTGGTAAGGCCAGCTTTTTATGAGCCAGCAAATAAGTTTGATGTAAGCTTGTGCGTCTTGCTTTTCTTTTTATATATTCTCTTTCTGGGTTATAAACTTACCGAGTTTTAGTCACGTTGAAGTGTATGTTTCTTATGCTTAGTCTGGCAAAGTGGCTGCTGACAACACTGTTGGGCGTTTCCTGATGGATCTTATTAACCAGGTGCCAAAGATTTCACCAGAGGACTTTGAGACAATGTTGAACAGCAATATCAATGTAAGTTCATCATCTAATTTCTTCAGTGTATTGCCAGCAATTTTGAAAATTTGTCATACAGACACAAATTTGTCTGATCAAAACAATCTGTCTTTTCATACAAACATGTTAATAGACAATACAGCTCTTTCTTGTCAGTAATTTGATGTTTTAAGAGCTGAAGGTGGATAAAGGAGCTCACCGTAATAATCTTGCAAGCAACTGCAAATAAGAGAATAAGAGGAATTATGCAAGTAATCTGAAAGCCAGCACCAATTCTTCTTTTAGAGTGATTGGACAATACGAATTACCAAGCTTACAGCAGTATGGATTTCAAGGATAACTGGTGACTTGCCAGCTTCCTTTGCCTGAGCTGAAGTTCTGTCTTCTTGCGTAACGCTTAGGACACGAACAAGGTTTTAGTGTGCTACTTTATTTCTGCAACAGACTTTTAGGAAGTGAAAGCTAAGTTTCTGAATGTGTTGTTCACCCATAGTCTGCACGACCAGAACTAATTTTTAATTTTGCTTATACCCTTTGACTTGCCTGGTTAACATGGGTGAACTCAGAGTTAAAATTTCACAAGCAGTGTTTCATATTCTGGGAATACCAAAACCTTCTTCCTGCGAGGGAAGCATTCCTCAGGGTAGGACTTTCAGGACTAACAATATTTCTAGTAGCTGTAAACTGCTTTACAGGTGTTAAAAATTGAACTCCCTAACAGGCTACCATCTTTTGTTAATATTTCTGATCACTGGGTTTTTTCTTCCCCTCTCAGGACCTACTGATGGTAACCTACTTGGCAAACCTCACACAGTCACAGATTGCTCTCAACGAAAAACTTCTGAGTTTATAAAGAAACTTCTTCCACCCTACGCTTCAAAGAGCCTGAAGAATGAGCAGATACACTTTTCTATGGTGGTGTTACCAATTTCCTTGGACCGTAATTTAATTACCTAGGTGACTTGGTTTACATCTTTATTTCCATTGCCCTGAAAAACCCCTAACATGGTTTAGGAAATGAATGGGAACGGCTGCAGTTTAGTTGAGCCAATATGTTAAAATGGAATACGTGAATCTTTTGTCTCCTGGGTTTACCTACTTGTATAACAAAATACAGCTTTATTGTAAGAATTTATTTGAAATAAAAGTTCCATTGCAATGGCAAGAATGGCTTCTGTCCAGAGAAAACTGTTCTCACACTTACTGTATAATGAATCCACTGTTGAAAGAAAGGGGGATAACATGGCATCAGAAAAGAAAACTAGAGTGGATGCAACTCAACTCCAATTCTGCAGACTTCTTTGCAGGTTTTTTTCCCAACTGTTAAAGCACACTGAAAGCGTGGCTTCTTGTGGTGCACATAATATGCTTTTCCATGGAGGACTACAGAATGGTCACTGGTTTATTAGTGGTGCTGTGTATATGCCCTTCTTCAGCAGGGTACTTGACAGAGTGAATTCAGTTTACATTATGGTATCATTTCTATGCATATCTGATGCTTTGGGAAAGGAAATCAAGGTCAAGAGCATTAACCCCTCATAAAGTGGGGGGTTCAGAGAATTAAACTAGCAACTGAGTTCATGGTTAAAAGGGCTTGAAAAGCATTTGTGGCTGAACAAGTGTGGCTACTGGAGTTTCCATCTTTGCAAAAGAAGAAAAGCACAGCAAAACTATACTTAATGAAGTTTTGAGGTTAAAAGTTGGGTGTCATCAAATAGCAGCATCACTGCTGCTAAAATTATGTGAACAGAAACTTCCCATTTTCTCCCCAAAACCTATTTCACATTAAATGAGTTCTAGCTGAAAGCAAGCCAATACCAATCTGAGCTGTAACTTTTTACAGTCTCGGCTAATAACATTACCTTTAGAAGTCTGTTCAGCGGTACTGAGGAGGTTTTGCCTAATAGAGTAAAACTGTCCCTCTTCTACAACATAACTGTTCCCACCTAATTACTAATGACTATTTCTGATGCCTCACATTTGTTTTGGTAAATGAATGTGAAATGTTAGAGAAGCCTGCAAAGCCAATGTTCCCCAGAATAATTTTTGTGCTAATTTGCCAGATAAATCCAAGAATGGGACTCGGGTTACAAATCTGTAGATCCTGTACTGGTTGTTCCAATCTGGAGAATTCCCCCACTGACTCAGTGCTAAATTCCAAGTTCTAATTGCAAGGACAAGGTACATGAAAACTGAAGGTGTAGCAAAGATTCTAATCTCTCTGAAAATGTTATTTGTGAGCATTAAATAAGTGTTAAAACTCGGCTCTTGTTTTTTATTAGTCTGAATAAAAATGTTTTGTTTTCCCTTCTCTTCTTTAAACTTAATATTCGTAACCAGCCATTTAACTATTTCACAGATTTTCAGGTCGGGGTGTTTATTAAAGTAAGCCTTGAAATAGGTGGAGGAAAAGAGCAAGCAGCAAAGCTGGGTAAGTCAGTCTCTCAATTACTGCAAAAAAGTTGCAGGGGAGGAAAAGCATCATAGTCTTTCCCTGATCTCTCCTCTGCAGTAAACTCTTGCCATTCCCTGTTGGGAAAACTGATAAAATGTAAGAAGAAAGGTTTTAAATGCTCTACAAGTTGAATAGCTACGCTATTTAATAAGCTGCTATGCACAAAATGCCAAGTTCTGAGAAGAAAGATCAGTTTGTGATCATTGATACAGAAAACGTATTGCGGAATTTGCCAGTCAGGTACTTACAAGTACCTGAAGACTAATGATGATATGTCATTAAGGGACTGAGGTTATGTCTTCCTAGGCAGAAAGATTCACTGCAAAGTAGAGGTGTCGGAAGAGCCCACAATCCATAGATTCTGTTGTATGCCAGGCAGCACAGTGACAAATGCTTGGAATTGGAGTAGGAAAAAAAAAAGTTGCCCTTTTAAAAACTCTGTATCTGATCCCATCCATTGTGTCCCTTTTTACTGGGTAAATGGCACATTGTGAGCCTTACTTTGACTCAGGAATTTTGAATGCCTGATTTCAAATTTCAGTGGCCACTCTTACGAAGGACAATATTGCAAACACAAATGTAATGCATCATTTTGCTTAATTGTATTGTACGTATTTGCTGTGTTATTACCTAGGAGACTGAGGCATTCCTTCTCTGGAGTTTGAAAATCTAGACAGGAATTCCTAAAGGTATTTTCAAATTGTTCCACTTTACGGAAATCTAAAAACATGAAGTTCAATAGAAAATGTGGTGGGAAAAGCTTGGGAGTCAAGAAACATCACCAAGGATTTCAAGCTTTAACTTGCTATTGATTTGTAAACCACAAACTTCTTGGATTTATTAGGGGACTTTTTCCTTTTTTTTGTTTGTTTAGGATGCATTGCTCTAACTAACTTTGGCAAAGTCTAGCTTTAAATAGTCAAGACATAGTTCTCTGGGTATGCTTCTATATACACCGCTTATTATATTTAGTCATATTAGTGCCACCACTAATGTAATAAAAAAACTTTTCTAACCTCTGTGACATGTTCAGCCTTTTTCTTTTCTCAGATGGCTTCTCTGAATGAGTACAACTTTCGTGGACATTACTGTATTACCTGTTTATTTCTGGCAATGTACATGTTTTCCTGGTAAGTATTAGGCTTTAAAATACCTTGCTTAAATGGCTCTGTTACCAGCTCCTAGCACTCAAGTATTTAATTGCTCAAATGATAAGATCTTTTTTTTTGTATCCTGGCTTAGTTGAGCTGATCTTGGGTTTTTACCTCAGCATGAAGTTCTCCTTGAAAACTTCTTTTCCTCAATATATACAACAATATTCAGAACAGAGTTTACTGTTACAATTGATTGTCTTGTTCCCTTTGGGTATACTGTGTACTTAGAAAACTTGGAGGAATGTATAAAATCAGCCCACCTTGCTGCCTTGGACCCTCTCAGACATGTAATCTCACAGTTAGCCTCAACAAAGGAATGGAATTTCAGCAAAGCATCTCTTGGCAGTACGAAGAGGCAATGAAACCTTGTGTTTTTTCAGTGAGCACGGTGACCTCTGACAACCTGCAGTTTAATTAGCATGCAGACATTATGCTTTGTTCTGACATCTTCCTAGCATAGTAAGACTGTGCTTGTTCGCATCTTTGAGCAAGTGCACGTGAAACCCACAAGCACATGAAAGTACTCTGTGTTACTTATCAGAATAAATACTTGCAGGATGAAGTATCTTTAATGGAAATGCCTTCTTAAAATTGCAGGAGAGAGCTGGTAATGCTCCAGTATTTCTTAAATGATCACAGTCTCGGCAGTAGAAAGAAGATGATGTACCACAATGGAAATTGCAGATACCTGATGGGAATTAGCTTCCCTGTGCTCTGTTGTGCTGCAAGGCTTGCAGATGACATTTAGATGATTCTTCAAGAGATATTAGTGGATAGGCAGGTACGCAACTGTCACGTTTCCTATGACTGCTATCAGGTACTTAGGATCGATGCTGCACAGAACAGTTCTGGTGGTGGTGACTAGGATTAGAATAAGATCTAAAGGGAGTCCTTGTAGACTATTGTGTTACTGCCGGTTTGCTGGTTAAGCTAAAAAGCAATTGAAATTTGACATTCTAAATTCACGTGACTGAAGAAAAGGGTTAATACTATGTGTTTCTCTGGGTAGGGAAAGAAGTTTGTGCTGCTAATTTGGTGTGTTTAACAGACATTTCATTGTTGCCATCTTCTCTGGTTCCCTGTGTCCACTAACTTTACCTTAGAAGGGGTTTCCTGAATCACAAATTTAGTTCTTTCCTGTCTTGACCAACCACATCTTAAATTCTATTTTAAATATACCTAAATATAACTCCTTTGTCCTTACTAAAGTTCTTATTTCATGCTCTTCCTGGTATTTATACATAATCTGTTATAGGTAGCCATCATACTGTAGCCTTCATTATACTAAACATATTAAGCTTTATCTCCTTTCTTCTGATGCACTGTCTCTGCTTTGATCTCTTAGCTGCCCACTTTAAACTTAATTTCAGTCTTTCTTGAACTTGAGTTTGTAAAGACCATACCCATATCAGCATATAGATCAATGAATATAAGAATACATTAATACTTTCCTGTTGTAAATTCCTTGTTTGCCTCTTGGTGTCTGTCATGTAGTGTGATTCAGCACCCCAATCTTTTGCCCCTGCTGTCATTTGCAGCTGAACTCCAATTTGCCAAGAAAATCATTAATTTAAATGCATGACCTGGCATTATGACACCTTTTAATTAAAAAAAAATCTAGATCCACATATTTCTCCTGGTTTGGATTATTCTCAGTATTGGTGACACCTCACAGTTTTGTCAGCAGGTATCATTAGCTTATTCCTAACTTTTGTGCCCTACTCAGTTAAGAAAAAACTTGGAATTGGTCCCAGGCCAACTTAACAGAATTCTACAAAGTCCCTTTTCAACACAGCCTTTGTTCTTTCTTACAAGATCTTTATCCTTGCTCATGCTAATTCCTGTCTTCTGTAGTTTAACTAATTATGGGTTTTTGTCAAGCCTTCTGCAGACATGCAAGTGGTTTATACCGAATTCCTCATTTAGAATGTACATTGTGTCAAACTGACCCAGTATGTCCAGTGATTGACCTTTGATAAACCATGTGTTTCGTTGTAAGCCTTGGAAAGTGGAGATAAGACTAGTTGTTCTATATTGTTGAGAATAATGAACTTTTTGCTATCTGCTATCTGCAATTTCATACTTAAAAAAAAAAAACAATCCATGCTGCCAGAATTACAATTTAATTTGCTGATTGTTTCCATATACTGGGATGAAGGTCACTAAGTTTGCATTGCTAGTTGAGTCATTTAAGTTTCTTGGCAGAATACTTAAGTCTGCTGCAAAGTAGACTTACACACTTTGGTGTGTGATTTCGTGAACCTATAGACATATGCCATCTATTACTACCTAATCTGAAATGCATGGTTTTAATCCTAAAGATTAAAAAGTAGATGGTGAAAAACGTTGGACATGCTGCTCTTCTAAGTAGTCTGGCAGAACAACCTGCTGTTCTCCTTCTGTGCTTTGAGGAAGGGTGAAGCTTCTGTTTTTAGTGTGGTTCCACACAACAGAACTAGAGATCCTGGTGGCAACTCAGTTGCAAGGTTTGTGTGAAATCTTGATGTTTGGACTACAGTAGGTGGAGCCCTAACATGACTCACTGGGTAGTGACTCTCACTTGAGCAGCTAACCAAACACATGGCTCTTGCTGAAGTGAACTGAACTTGCTCTGCTCCCTGTTCACATGGAAGGTTAACTCAACAGCTAACTTTGACTATCTGCATTTTAATTACTGCAGTCACAAGGTAGTGTAACAGGAAAAGTATTTTTAGTACATAATTTAGACTTGGATCACTGCAGTATCCTGTTGGTTTGTTACACTTTGACCTATGGTTCAAAGCTGACCAGATCTTGTTGCTTACAGCAAACTGTGGGAAAGTTTGGGTTTTTGTTTGGTTTTTTTTTTTTTTAACTGTATTGGCTTTGGCCGAAATAGAACATCAAAAGTAATGCTTCATATTAAAGTGGAAAATAATGTTCCAACCAGGATACATAGCACAGAGAAGCAGCAATGCTTTCAGTAACCTATGTCACAACAATAAATTACTCTGAAAAAAAAGTTTTGTTTCGGCTCTGTTGATAGCACCCAGTTAACACAACTACGTAGTTGAGAGCCAAGTCCCTCCAGACCAGAATTCTGTCCAGTGTCATGTCTTAGCAGAAGATGCAAGGATATTACAAAAGAGAGGAGCAAGAGTTTGTTTCCCAACTTTACTAAGTTGAATTTTCTAATAGTGAGAAGTTGCCTTGACACTGCATGGGGTTTTAGAAGCCTAAATGTACTGACTCTAGCTATAGTAACAAGCCAAGGGATTTCCTTACATATAGGGAGTGAAATTAGATGACCACAATGGTTCCATTCCATGCTTTAAAAAAGTCATTCCAGATATTCTTGTTAACATACAAGCATACAATGCATTTAACATAGATTCTTCAGACATATGCCATTTTATTTAAATGTTTTCTCTTGTTCTTTTCCCACTTGTTTGTGAAAACTGATTGTTCCTTTCCTGAATAGCTCAAATCCAAACAGTCCACTAAATGGAAGAGAGAAAGAATTGTGTATTTTATAAATGTACTTGGTTCCCATGGAAACAGGGATTTAAATATATACATGTCCTGAAAGAAATGTGTTTAACAGAGCTGAAATAGAGTAGACATACATTGGGAGTGTCAGCTGAAGAATGCTTTGAGGATTAAATTCTTAAAGCTGCTCCTGATGCGTTCTGGGCAAACAAGGGAGAACAAGCCCAATTTTGCTGAAGATAGGCCATTTATTAGATTCTTTATGTGGCTTTAGATGCTTTTCATTTGAAGCAGGCAAACGTGGTAAATTATTACCCACCTGTTTTCTGCTGCCTGCACTTAATGCTGTTTTACAGACAAATAGAGCAGTGGCTGTTGTTTCATCTAGAGCTCAAGTGCTGCACCAGGTTACAGGAAAAAGTTGTTTGCATTTTAATGGTCTCTGAACTGCTAACATGGTTATCATAAAAAAAGTAGGAAGTTATTTTGAATAATCTCAAGTAACCAGTGCAGAATATCATGGGTGGATCCTTCAAAAATTGTATCTTGCTGGTCAGAATCTCTTATGAATAATTAACCACCAGGTAAAGGAAGGACTATGTGTAAGTAGTGTCTGTTCTAAGTATATTAGGAATAAACATTACAATAGACAGAAACAAAACACTAAGTGCACTTCCCACAATTGCATACAAATGACCGTAATTAAGATTTCTTTCTAGAGAAAGGTATGTAGTAGTCAAGACAATCTTACCTTTATGCCCTGTTGGGACCTAGATCCTGATCTTGAGTAACTACAGAAAAAGGAGCAACTCCTCCAGCTCCACTTACGTCTTTTATATACTTTGCCTGTTACACACTGTTGTGGTGGCCTAGATGACTTGGCTGACTACCTGCCAGCTACTGAACGATGATGTTGATCTAAAGACTCACGTGTTACTGGATAACAGACTCGATTTAGAGCTACACGCATTAGGGCTGAACTCCACTGCAGTGGTGCCGTAAGGAAACTGCAGTGTGGACTTCTCCCTTCGTTTCCTAGGCGGGTAGCTACGGACTCCCGCGGGACGGCATCGCCTGGCGCTTCCCGTGTTGAATGCTTCCCCCGACACAGCTCCACTGGCAAGTCGCTCTGCGTTTCTGTGGCACTTGTGTCTTTGAACTTACCTCTCAGCCGTTTTGAAGGAGAACTGGGTGTACTGCAGCTTCCCTTCAGCAAGATGGGGCAAACCTGCACAGATAGGAAAGGGGTCCCGGGTTAGCAGGACGATCGCCACCGGGAGCC